CTTATCTCCATCAGACTCGGAATCCGAAGGCGAGTCGAATCCATCTGGAACCAGCTTTGCGGACGCCTTTCTGCCGGTCGTGGCAGTCGTGTCGGCCGGACGCTGGGCACCCATGGACGCAGCACGCACGCGCATGCTGCTGCCCGGAGTAGGTCTCGCTGGAGGCTCTCCAAAGTCGGCGAACCGCTGAAGACTGCCGGTGGGTGGCGCAAGAGTCTGGGCCGGAGTAGTGTATATCCTACGCATCCCCTCGCCTGAACCAGACTGGAAAATGGATGGTCTCCCTAGTCCAAGCTGAGCACGTGTACGCGGGGCATTCGGAGCAATTTGTTCTCCATTCCACCTGTTGGTCGCGTAACCTTCTGTGACACCTACACGACCCATGTCAGTTGGTCATTCTCCGTTGGACGTTTAGGGGCAAGGTATTGCAAGGCGTGGAGTGGAGCCTGCAGCGTACTTTTTCGGATCCTTGCGCCTACGTTACGTAGCTTATCGTTCAAATCGTCTGGGACGTAGCTGAGAAAAACAAAGGTGTGAGACATGGTAGTTACTATGGCCGTAGTGGTAAGATAAACGTACGTGTTTACACGGTTGAATGCGCGACGCGGGAGCTCGTCTGGTGTGGATTGCGTCGAGGCAGGGGATTGAGTTGGCTCATTTGCGGATTCCATTGCTACGACGTGGCTAAGTTCAAGTTGAAGCGACACGCGCCGGCAGCACGTGCACCCACATAAGCAGCTACAAATACCCGGTAATATGCGCGACGTTCGAGTACACCACGCCAGTGTAGTACATGGGGTACACATTATCGACGTATTTTTACGCGTTATACGCTTGGAAATAGTATACAGTGGAGTCTTAGGACATTTGAACATCGTACTACTTATGGTATAAATGTAGCTATACAGTACCATTAGCCACTCCGGCTCGCTTCCGGATGTTCCGCTGATCCGAAACGACCACTCCCTCGACAATCCCCAAACTTACTCGTGAGTGTGAACTTATGCTCCTGCGCCGTCCATTGATTCAATAGCCCAAAAAATATCTAGGACGATAAAATGGCCCAGGGAAAGGTCAAGGCATACGAGCTCCAGTCCAAGTGAGTCCGAACAAACGATGATAGTCGTATGCTTAATGAGGCGTACGTAGGTCCAAGGGTGACCTGGCCAAGCAACTGGGAGAGCTCAAGGGCGAGCTCCTCAACCTGCGCGTGCAGAAGATTGCGAGCGCTTCCTCCTCCAAGTTGACCAAGATGTAAGTCGTAATATTAAATTACTTATTCCTAATATGTAATGCTCAATCATCATTCAGCAACGCCATCCGCAAATCTATTGCCCGTGTCTTGACTGTCACCAACCAAAAGACCAGGCAAAACCTGCGCGAGCTGTACAAGAAGAAGAAGTACCTTCCTCTCGACCTCCGTGCCAAGAAGACTCGCGCGATCCGGAGGAGACTGTCCAAGGCCAGTACCACTCGGTCACTGCCATTCACATGATATTCACGATAAGCTTGTGTTCAGACCGATGCTGCTCGCAAGACGGTCAAACAAAAGAAGAAGGAGCAACACTTCCCTATCCGAAAGTACGCAGTGAAGGCATGAACTAGGCTGTGCTTGAGATCAGGCTGGAGAGGTTGGTCGAGGTGTAGGTGGGACGTTGTTGCAGCCCAATATATTTGTACGTTTTTCGTATGCGCATTCATCTATGTCGACTATGTCATCCATGAGCCAATTGGTCAATCCTTAAACTCGGCTATCGACTTGCCTCGAGCTCAAACCGAGCCTTTTGAAACGCAACTTCATTTCACTCGTCCCTCGCCACCCATCAAACTACGCATATTTGAACTTCAGTCAACGTCATGATTGGTTTGAACCTAAGTGCTACTGTGAAATGTGTACAAAGACAGCAAAGCAGGACAGAAACAGAAACCCAACCGAAACGCAAGCAGCGAACCAAAAAGGAAAAAAAAGTACAAGCAAAAAGTTCAGTGTAGGTTATTCATCATTAATAGACACCGTGACAAACACAAAAATAAAGTAGCCCCAAACATCGTAACGTTCTTATCCAAATACCTTGATTTTCAATCCTTCGAGCCAGCGGAGGTAAAGTAATTCAGCAATCGGGCTTTTCTTCTGCCCATCGAGACTCTCTGTCGAACGACTACCAACTTCCTCGACTTGTTCTGTTACCACGAGCCCGTCGGTAGTGACTTCTGTCCCACGCTGTATGCGTTTATGAGGGAACATGCCTTTCTTTGTCGAGATATGCTGCCGAAGAGAGTTATTTCTGGAGAGCGGTTAGCTCACGGCACATATTAGAGGACGTAATAAACTTACTCATTGATACCGGAAAGCATATCCAAAATAACGTTGTACGCGAGCTCTGGATTCGCATCCTTGAGGTCGGTAAACCCGCGCGCCAACATGCTCATGCTCTCAATTTCACGGGCATCCATATCGTCATGTATATGCTAAATTATAGATTAGCGCAACGCCCATGACATACTGAAGTTGGTCCTCACTTGTTGTAGGACCGGTATTACCACCTCGTCAACTAGGGCTTTGCCTGCTTTCGCACTCTCGTTTAGACTCTTTTTGCGTTTGGCCGCAGCCTTGCTTTCACCATTCGACATGATGCTCTCTGCAAGGCCATTCTCGCCACTGCCTTCTCCACTATCCCCAGATCCGCGGCTCCTGGCGCTCCCTACGTATTCGTTGGACAGACGCAGCGAGCCTGCTGCGTCTACCTTCTTGACTGGGCGCATTGTGTTCATGCTAATACGATTTGTTAGGAGGACACTTGATCAAGCTACAGCCTAGACTCACCCATCTCCAACGTCACCTTCCCGAACCACTGCTCCATTGAGATTGTTCCGTTCAGCGTAGCTCAGACGTTTGGAACGTGGTGAAGTAGGCGAGGTAGGTGTCGAAGGTGCCTCTTTTGAAGTACCTGGGATGGAGCCTCGAGGCGTCGAAGGAGAGCCAGGGGGTGAGATCGCAGGAGTCTAAATCAAACGCGCTTCATGTAAGCACGGCCCCGAAATACCGAAATAGGAACGCCGGGCGCGGCAAGCAAACACACCTTTATAGGTTCGGTCTCGTCTATTTCCTGAGGCTGCGTTTCGTTATCGAGCGCCGATCCATGAATGGCTCCAGTCGTGCTATAAGTACCTATGCTCCCGAGCTCTTGCCCCTCTCCGTCCGCCTCGTAGAGTATATCTCGAACGCTGCCGTACCCGCTGCTACTCCGCACTGTCTCAAATATCCACTCGCTTCGCATTGTGCCACCCGCTCCACCACTGTAAGTATCATAGATGGACTGACGAACAGTGGCTTGATTCGCATTTCCGGCACGAGGCTGGGCATGGGTCCGGAACTCTTGGTATCGCTCTATGAGTTCGGTCAACGAGCTAGTCCCGCGACGTGCGCCTTTAATGAAGCGATGTTGTAGGAGCTCTTTTGCAGTTGGGCGCTGCAGAAAGGTGAGTATATAAAAGCGTATTTTGGGCGCTAAACTCACGAGCTTGGGGTCTTTGGTCAAACACAGCGATACAAACTCTTTGAATGCAGAGCTGAAATTTCCCTCGAGCACCGGAGGTTTTGCTTTCGGGATCAAAAACAGCACACGCATAGGATGATATTCTGCCAGTGGCGGCTCTCCCATTGCCATCTCGATCGCGGTAATGCCCAATGACCAAATGTCTGCCTTGGCATCGTAACCGGCCTGACGAATAACCTCGGGCGCCATCCAGAACGGCGTTCCGACAAAGGTATGTCTCAGTGTCGAACTCAACTGGGCAGCGACCCCAAAGTCGGCTATGGCGTATTTCAGTTGCGCGCAAAACGAGCACAAGCGCGGTACTTACCCAACTTGACTTTGCCTGACGCAGACAGCAGGATATTTGCCGCCTTGATATCTCGGTGAATCTTCCCTTCGGTGTGGAGGTACTCCAACCCGAATAATAGTTCTCGAAGCAAGACGGCTATCTGTGCTTCCGGAAAGACGCCAGGCTTGAGCAAGTCGAGGCAAGAGCCCCCGGCGAGGTACTCCATAATGATCCAAAGCTTGTAGCCTCGAACGAACGAGCCATAGTAGCGAGTCACGTAGTCGGAGTCACACTGGGCAAGGTGGGAGATTTCTTGTTGAATTTCAGAGATGTCGTCGTCTGTGTCCTCGAGGTCTATTTGCTTTATGGCTACAATGTGGCCGGTCTTGTCGGTTCTGGATGCACGGGCGGGCGTTAGAGGTTGGCCAGCGTCGTACGTATGCTACTCACGCCTTGTACACGGTGCCAAAGCTGCCGGTGCCGAGTTTCTCAAGCAGCGTGTACTGCGAGGAAGGGTCCGAAGATGGCAACATCCGATGGCCGCTGGGAAGTGGCTGGCGTGCAAGCGGCGAGGTTGGGGAATTCGGAGACGAGGAAACAGGTGTCCTAGGCTAGGATCGACGTCAGTAACAATACGCGTGCTATACGCGTCTACGAACCATTCTATCTCAATTCGGGCGGCCTTGGGAGTCGAGGTGCAACGCAACAGCAGCCAAGCCAAATGCTGTGGACGCCAACGTCAGAGTTGGTCACGATCGAAGAGCGCGGAGAGAGATGTCCAGAAACAGCAAGTGTCTCAGCGCCATTGAACCGGAACGCGAATCGACCGACTCGCCTTTTCTTGGGGATCTCGTGGCAGAAATACGAGGAATGTTCAGAACAATCCTGCGATCCAAGAGACCAAGTCCACCTGCCGAGGCGGGTTGCGGGCCATTTTGAGACAGGGGCTGCCTCATTGCTATCGCGCGTCATTCAGGGTCCAGGACAAATAAACAGGTAAATTCGTTTTCACAACAGGGTCGGGGTTGTTGGGTACTACTGCAATTGGCGTAGAGAATAGGCATAGATAGGCTGGAAGAAACCCCTTGAATGACTAGTTGATTGGCTGAAATAATTAATTGTGACCTGCTGTGCGTTAAAAGCACTACAATGCGTCTAAGCTACTCGAGGTGAATGGCTTCATAGTGTAGTGGTTATCACCTCGGATTCTGAGTACCATGCTCTTTATTCCGGTAACCCCAGTTCGAGTCTGGGTGGGGCCTTAGTTTTGTCCAGCAAATCAGCCGCCTCGAGAACCCAGTGATATGATCACCGCTATTGGGCCGATCTTGTTCACGCCGAGCTGACAACCACCATGCAACGATTCCTATCCGCTCACTTTTGTCGAGGGGGGACTAGGTATGTCAACGGTTCCAGATCTTCCGTGCCACTCATGTTTCGTCCCAGCAAAGGCCTCTTTTTCCAGGATCATGCGTTCGCAAAAGTATCACAAGAGACTAGAAACAAGATTATACTCGCCGCCATGGGTGAGTCGGCCGATATCTTAAACCAGATTGGTCTCATGACTTCGATGTAAAGGTAGTCCCGATCCAGACGGTCGTCAGATAGATGGGTAAGGTTGGGTGCCTCTGATGTGCATGGCACTTATCGCTCGTAGTATGGGGGGAGGAATCTCTTCATTATCCAAAGCAGCCATCCTCCACGCGCCTGGTGCAGATCACCCAGGACCAGACTCTGCGAACGCGTTCCCGGGTGTTCGCTGGGCAAATGATCTGACGAAATCCCGTGACGAAAAGAACGGCTGGGACGTCGTGTATCGATTCTGCCAGGTAGGTCGATACATGCTCTCGGCCTTGTGGTTTTAATGATGGAACTAGGTTGGAGTACGCGAACCAGAGCTCGACTGGGGGTCTACATGTGGCAATCTAGTTTCTGCAGCAGCTATGGTACGCCCTATTTCCCTATGGTGGTTAAACTGAATTTTCCTGCGTAGACAGCGATCAACTGGAACCTAGTCCCGACTGAATCTGTTCTACACTCCATGGCTAACGAAGAGTCGACAACCCTCCCCGTTCGAATACTGGCAGCAAACAATGGTCTCATCGTCACAGCCAAAGTTCCGGTCATGCTAAGCCCCTCGCGTACAGTCGTGCCCATCACAGGCGGCGACGCAGTGATATCAGGCGTACCTGGCACAGGCGCACCCATAGTCATCGAAACGCCGATTCTGCAAGCGCCGCTACGTACCAAGCACTCACGAGAAACACTCTCAATCGACGGAAACGAGGCAAGTTAATCTCATCCTTCTCCATACGCAACTACACGCAAGCCGTCCCTAGATCGAATGTTCAATCATTGACACGGGGCTCCCCGTTATTTTCGTCTCGGCAACTCACGTTCTCTCCTCTTCACATTCAATCACATCTTCTCCAGCCGATCTCGATGCAGACGCGGCCCTCATGTCCCTGATAGAGCAGATTAGAGTCGCAGGAGCAAAACATGCGCATATACCTCTCTCAAGTGCCGCACCAAAAGTTTGTCTCGTTGGCCCACCGTCTTCTGACAACGTCGATCTGGATATTCGCGCCGTGAGCGTAGGGAACATTCACAGAACAGTTCCCGCCACAACGCTGTCAGCTTTGGCATCTGCTGCGGCTATTCAAGGCACCATTGTTCAGGCTATGTCTCGCTCTCACTCGAATACAAAGCCAGTCAGCGTAGGGGACGTCGTCTCATTGACCGTTGGGCACCCAGCAGGAGCAGCCAGTGCGAGCGTAAAGATGGGGAGCGTGGACGGAGTTGTAAGGCCCGAGGCAATCGTTTACACGCGAACGGCTAGATTACTGTTTGAAGGGAATGTTGCCATTCCAGAGAGCGTCTTCCATGAGACCTAACTCTTGCATCGTTCACATCACTCTGGTCATAGTTTAGGAATCACATCACCAGGATCTAATATAAGTAACGTACATCCTGAAAACCAAAAGGAGGGAAATATAAGAAAATAACACAATGAGGGGTTGAAAGTAAAAACAAAAGACGTTAAAGTCATAATAACCGTTCAAGAGTTCGTGAATATCGGAAACTATTCTTCAGCATGTAAAAGTCTAGGCTGCATTATCAGAAGTGGGCGGTTTAGGGGAAGCATGCTTTGGTAGAGCAGAAGGGTTGGTCATGGAAATCTTGGTACGAGATGCAGAGATTCGGAGGGCCGTTCGAGCGGCCGGCTTAGACGTGCCGCTAGCGGTCGCGGGCTTCGGCCGAGACAAAGCTGGTTTGGTTGTAACAGCATCGACTGAACGTTTCGCAGGAACCACTTTATGCGCAGGCCCAGATGTACGAGTAGCCATAGGCTGCGCATCAGGTGGTCTCCGGCGGGGTGCTCTTGGTACACCCACAGGTACAGACTTTCCCTCGGCATCCGTACGCCGCCTCTTGGCTGGACTTTCCACACTCTCATCCTCCCCATTCACCTTCATCTTAACTCCAATCACTGCTTTTCCTTCAACACCAACCACCCCTTTACACCCCTTCCCAACCTTGACACCTACGCCACTATGTCCACCCTTTTCACGTTCCACTCCCCTCAAGGCGCGTCCATTCTGGCGGCCGCGCAGTCGCACCTCTGTCGCACGGCCCCTCAAAACCCCTCCCCCGAAACAACCTCGTCTCGCGTGTCCCGTTTGCCACGTACGGTTCGCTCGGACACCTTTCGTCTTTGCCTCTCAAGAGCTGCGATGCGCTCAGCTTCTTTTTGCTCAATCGCGCGTCGCTGTTCTTCCTCACGCAACCGTTCAGCGTCGACACTATTGTCCTCCTTGGGTTCCCACACTTGCGCACGGAGTTCACGTGTGGATCGCTGGCGGCGAGGCAAGCCCATGCCCGTGGTCGATGTCGGAGGATGACTGGGGGCATTCGTAGGAGGGCGTGAGATGGCGGTGGGTGCTCGATTCTCTGGTCCTGTGGATGGTGGGCGGTACCCAGGTTGCGGGCGGGAGAAAACGTTGGACACGCTTTGCGAAGGCGTTAGTGAAGGAGCGATTGATGGAGTAGGGAATGAAGGGGCAACGCTGGGCGGTGACTGCGGCGAGTAGGGCACTGAAGCTGGTTGATAGGGGTATGAGCTAACACCCGGGCCGGCGCTAGGCGCTCGCCTTTGCTTAGAGGGGTCAGGGGGAATTGCGGATCGCTGGCGCCAGCCCTGGATAACGTCGACCCGGCTACCGCTGTCGCTCTCATCATCAGCTGGAGAGAACGGGCGCGTGGGATATCCAGAGCGCCCACGCGCACCATAGGGGTTCCCATAAGCCGGAGGAGATGGTGCCGTTGGAGGGGAACCAGATCCGTAACCCATAGGGGGTGGAGATGCGTGTCCACCAACGTCTGGAGTCAAACCCTTGGCTTCCTTGGGTTTGTCCGCGAACGTCATTCCACGTTCGCCCTCCAAAAAGGCCGAGGCGCGCGGATTTCGGCCGTCGATATAGCTATCCTTCCTCTGCCGATTCGGGTTGAGGTTCGCTCGGCTAGCGCGCGTACGAGGTTGCAGGTACGAGGGGATTGCCGGCGCAGCCGGTACAACTGAGGTGGGCAGGTGCTCAGGAGAAGAGAGTGCAAAGGATGGAACATCTGGGTTTGTATCGGGTGCAAGATCGCCTGCCCCGTTGGTGATTCCCTCACTGCCAGGAGAGAACCCATAGGTGGGTCCGCCGACTTCGGACTCGCCCCGATAGGAAACAGAAGTGACACTGGAGGAGTCACCTAGGTACGCTGGGCGCTGGTCGATCGACATTCGGCGCCCATAAGGCATGCCATCCGGGCGTGACCGAGAAGGTGCGCGGCGGGAGCTAAAGACCGGAGGATAATCGCGCTCTATGGAAGCTTGCATATCCCGAGGCACGCCATAGGGAGGAGGATCATCACGCAAGGGATTCTTGTAGATGATATCCTCGGGCTCGGATTCCTGTTGGGCATAACCGCGAGTCTTAGGCTTGAAGCGCTCGAGTGGGTCGGGCTCCGCTTTTTCTTTGGTCGACGTGGCCTCCGGCTTGGTTGGTTCGCTAAGGGGTTCATCAGGGTCAGAACCCGATACATCATGGCCACCTGGACGGGGCAGAGAGCCGCTTGAGAACCACCTTCGCAGGGTCGTCCACGCGCGCTGGGTAACGAATTTGAGCGACTCGAGCGGTGCCGTAACAAGCAGCACAGCAAGGTCTGCCGCAGAGGTAAAGACTTGGACAAACGAGTCAAGCGAGACGTAATATGGCTTCACGAGTGGGCGAATGACGTGGAGAAGAATAGCTTCGGACATCTGCGAAATCGGTCAGATAAAAGAAAGTGTGGGAAGTGACACGTCATGTACGTACTGTCGCGCGGCCTAGGATAAGGAAGAGAACGAGAAACATCTTGATCTCGTTGTAAAACGGGGTGACGACGGAGATGGTGCGGTCTGCGATCGCCTCGGCACTTGACCAGCAAGACTGGGGGATGTTGAGCATCAATGGAGCCAGAGTGGGAGTAGGACGTACCCAGACAATCCAGCACGCAAGCATCCCCTTGAGCTCGCGCTTTCTCGCCTGCTTCGCCTTGACGCTCGGGTCGGTGCCATTCTTGGACTTGCGCGACGGCTTGGGTGGCTTGAGAGCCTTGAAGGTGGTGTAGACGTTCTGGAAGAGCAGATACGAACTGACGACAAGCACGAGCATCTTTACCGCATCCAGTCGATAGAGGGGGGAAATTTCAGCTTAATGAACAAGCCCCCAAACATAACACGAAACAAGCGCTGACACGTGCATTCCGCGGTTTCGCGCTTAGCCACGTGATATGGCGTAACTCGCTTTTGTCACTCCCACCACTATGTTGTCATTACTCCTCTTCCCGCTGCTCGTCAGCGCCGCTGTTGTTCCAGAACTCATTCAGCAGAATGAACTAACATTAAATGTTCAAGAAGTCAAAGTTCCGGTATGTATTTACACCATTTCAGCCCTCGGTTCTGACCCGAGCGTAGGTCACGCTCGGAGTCATGAGCAGGTGTCCAGACGCGATCGCTTGCGAAACCGTGTTTGACAAAGTCCTCGAACGCGTGGGAAATAGAGTAGACATGTCCCTGGCGTTCATCGGAACGTATGCACCCCACACTTTTCTCACCCGGCCGCATTCTTACCAGCACGCACAGTATCAACGCGTCTGAGCCGCTTTACGGTGTTACATGCATGCATGGCGAGTTTGAGTGTGCCGGAAACGTGCACGAGCTGTGTGCTATCGCCCA